AGTCTCGCCATAGACTTCCAAAACATTTATGGGGAAACCAAACACCCAATCTCAAGTCGTTCGTCTAAAAGACAACAGACAATTGAACCAAACTATATTTTGCCATGTAAAGCTAACTTAAACCAAGTTAGAAATGGAAAAATAGTTTGGAACCCTTTTCTATAGGTATAAACCCCTGTAGTTACCCTTTTCAGCATGTTCCACCCCTTAACTGGTAGTTGTAGCTGTTCCCAACCATAATAGCTTACACACCAGGTGCATATAGTTTAAGGCCTTATGTAAAATCCCCTTCATAAGCCCACCGTAAACCACATAATTGCATGTCACATTGAACCAGAACGACACCGACTGGACGTCGCCCAGAGACGACCTTCGCTGGAGGCGACCTGCAATCCTGACGTTGGTCTCCGCTCTTCATCCAGTGGCCGCATCTTCAGTTCAATCCAAGGGTACCCCTCTGTATGCTGATTAATCAACACTTCCAATCGTTGTGGATTTACCGTTGTGGATTATATGACTTTTTCCAATGGATTACAGACTCTGTTTCCAAGGGGTTAAAGCATTGCTACAATGGAATTACCGAGATGTTATGGAATTATAATCAACACAATGGAATTGCCAAGAACATTGTGGAATTACCTTTGACTTTGTTTTCCTTGCTGGATTACTTTTGACTTTGGTTTTCCTTGCTGGATTACTCTTGACTCTTGTTTCTTTGCTGGATGACATCAAGCTTCAAGGACAATCGAAGGCGTAAGTTCATGTTTGGAATTCATCCCCATGGACAGGTGATGATTTCCAAAGGGGGGACTGTAGTGAACTTAACCCGATGTCAAAACTAAGCCTAAGGTCAAATCCCTTGACCTTAAGAACCTTGTGGGACAGAAACTGTCATTTCATTGATTTGAATCCAGAAATACAGGTTCACCCATCCTGAGACTTTCCTTCTTGAAAATCAAGTGAAAGAACACTCTCTTTTTATTATCATTACTATTTTACAAATGTTGATAACCAAAGTGTTTTAGTTCAAACCATTTTAGATGTTGCAGTGAACTAATCAATTTTATTAACTGTGAAACAGTGTAATGATTTTTTAATGCTTATGCAGAGTTAGAATTCATGTTAAGGTCTGTTACAGATTTTTATGCATTTTCTGATTTCTGTCTTTGAATGAGCAAGTGTGCGTTTTCCAAGGTCAGGAGTCGAAGCAGACGTGTCTTGTTTACATCCTCTCAGACGTCAACGGAGGAGGTGGCACCTGTTTCTAAAACTTGCCAAAACAAAACTCTCTCTGTCTCTGAGAAGTTTAATCTGTTCCATAACAATTCTTGCTGTTTTCTGACTTCTAGTAACCTCTTACATCACAAAACACACCCCTGTCTGGTTGATATTACCCAATCAGGGACGCTCAAATGAACCGGGAATAGAGCTCTTTAAAATGCCGGTACTTCCTAGTTCTCTCAGTTCAGAGTCTGAAAAGTTCAGTTCGGTGAAGCTTCTGAGGAGTTCGGTGAGGCGCTGAGAAGTCGTTTGGGAGAACAGAAGTCCAGCATGATAAGGCTCCTCCGAGATGGATTATAATATCCTCCACCTCTGAGTGGAACTTCTGAAGGACCCCACTCATGTGAAGTCTATTGCTGATGTGAGCTGGTGTCGGACGGAATCTCGTCACTACTTCGGACGAGTCACAGCCATCCTATGGAGACGCTGGACAGGTAGCGTTAACTGGACCTCCATATCTGCTGATTAATCTTCAGAAAGGTAATGAGTCAAGTTTCCTACCAAAGCGTACCGAGGAAAGCTGGGTTCTGATGGAGAGTGTCGGTTCTGGTGAACACTTCCCCTCACCTACCATCTTTTACTCCCTTTAAACTTCATTCCCATCTTTAAATTCTTCTCTCAAGTAGAAATCCTTCCAGATATTTTAGAAATGTCTGTGTAAAGTGCTCATCCACCGCCGTGTGGATAATTGATCATAATTGTACAGTTTTCATTGATGTCTGCTGTTCTGCTGAAGAGTGGAAACAATCGCCGAATTGTTTCTCACTACCTGTAAAGCTGTTAATTATGTTGTTATTTTCATATTTTGCCAAATTAATGTAAATGTTTGATGTTAAACTTTGATTCTGTAAAATAAATGACCGCATTCATGTTGATGGGTCAAAGATAAATGACGTCTCACGTTTGCATTTCATTAACATCAATGCACGTTTTATTCAGTCCAGAAAAATGAAGAATCCGTTTTAATTGATGAATATTTCGCAGCATCTGTTCATCTACAAGGGCGAAGCCTATACAAAATAGAAATTAGCACATGTGCACACACCAGGCGCTAGCGGAAGCATTAGCGGTAGCGATGCTAGCGTTGTGCAACACAAAAACCTTCCGGCTAGACCACAGTGCAGTGAATAGTTCAATGAAGCTTCGAGGCAGATAAATTTTCCTTGAGGATTTTTAGTAATCGAGGTATTCAAATTATTTGAGTAATAGTTTCAGCCCTACCCCGGACAGGTCTCCAGTCCATCACAAGGACACAGAGACAAACAACCATTCACTCTCTTACCTAGGGACAATTTAGTTATCAATCAGCATAACATGCACGTTTTTTGGTCTGTGGGAGGAAACCAAAGTGCCTGGAGAAAACCTACGCATGCACGGAGAACATGCAAGCTCCACCCAGAAAGTTCCCAGGCTGGAATTTGAACCGGCGACCTGCTCGCTGAGAGGCAGCAGCTCTACCAGCTGTGTCACCGTGCTGCCCACCTCAAAAGGTTGTGCCACAAAATATCTAAATAAGAGAACTAATCATTTTCAGTCAAGGCCAGTTTCATTAGTGTTTTTCAATATATATTGAATTCTGGTGAATCTAAATTAAAAAGCAGTGAATGATTGCTTAGTTGAGTTTTAGCAATGCTTTTCATTATTTTTATCAGCTTCAAGTTTATTCACTGACTGTTTTGTTTGAAAAACAGTAAATTTGTCCACATCTAACTGTTCATAATCTGAAATGGAGCTGCTTTTTAACAGAAGTCCTCACTTTGCTAAAGATCAGTCAAAGCAAAACATTTTATTAGCGGGACCCTGGAAACATGCACTTCATTAGTAAAAAACGGTAAAGTAGAACAGTGTATGGCTCTTAATATGTGAGGCTGCAGTTACACAAACTTAGGAGCTACATTATGACCAGATATGTATAGCTTTACTGGAAATAGATCCATTGTTTTTTATGACTGCAATGCATTTCACCAAATCAAACTCAAGGTTCTGGAGTGTTGACACAGATTTTCCACCTTCTCCTAAATAAATACTATGCTAGTAATATATTAGTATCAAGACAAAAAAGTTGCTTTTGGACAAATGCAGCTTAAAATTATTTTAAAAAAAGAAGGTCCTGGGTTCAATCCCCGGTTGGACCTGGGGTCTTTCTGTGTAGAGTTTGCATGTTCTTCTCGTGCTGCGTGGGTTTTCTCCAGGTACTCCGGTTTCCTCCCACAGATCAAAAACATGCATGTTAGTCTGCTTCAGGAGCAGGCCTCCCTTGCAAAAGAGATCTGTGATCTCAATGAGATTCACCTGGTTAAATAAAGGTTCATAAATAAATAAACACCACCTCAGCGTGTCAACTTCATCATCTGTTTAAGAAAAGAAAAAACACCACAGAGCTCTCAGGAACCAGTCATGCACATTTTTTATTGTATAAACAAGAAAAGTAACAGCAAAGACACATTTCACAGACTTTCTTGCACATTTCTTCCCTTTCTGAGTCGCAGATGTTTTATCTCGTTATTTTTTCCAGTAGGAGCCAACACAGAAGCATTTTACTCTCTACACCCACTACGTGACAAATCAAAATGAAAACAAGTGTAGCAGCTGTTTGGGGTTTGTTCTGTCAGAAAAAAAATCAGTTGAAATTCTTGGACAGTTTTATCAAAAATGCAAAAAAGTAGAACATTTTGGCCTCCGTTTCACGTTACCAGTCAGTTGTGCAGTCGTTTGTGCAGCACCATTAGCATGACGGCTTTGTCACTAACACGAATGTGTTGTGAGAGACAGACTGCCATCACCTTTGGGTGGTGGTTCTGGAGCCGAATGACTGCTTTTCCTTCTTATCCTTTAGGAGTCGAGCAGTCTGCCTGCACCGACCTTTGGCTTCTGGCTCTGAATCGCTCAGCTCCAGGTCGGGGCAGTACCCATCGCTGTCCTGATAAGATCGGCTGTTTTTTACTTTGTGTTCCAACACAGGTGCTGCCCACAGTCTGTCCTTAGTCGAACTCTTTCTGGACAGATTTTCGGAGACTCGCAGGTTCTCTGTTGTCCGTACCAAGTTGATAGTTGCCTCTTTGAAGGATCTGCCAAAGCGTTCCATGGCTGACTTGCGACAGTTAAAATCCAGCTTTGAGGCGTCCCGGTTATTGGGCGTTTGGCAGGAGCTGTCCTTCTGAGGCTTTTCTAATGCACCGTTAGATTTGGGCAAACCTGTTCGGTCCTGGTCCAGTTTACCATTGCTGTTGGAAGAATGACCATGGAATGCGGCTTGCAAAGCCAAATGTTTGCTTGTTGGTCTCCCAGTCAACGGCATGGTGCTCGGGTGACCAGAGGACGTCAATCGGCCATTGGAGCGCTCCTCTTTGCCACCACGAGTGAGTAGCTGAGGCTTGCCAAGACCAAGCCCCCCAGCAGTGTGTTCAGAAACATTACTGCTAATGTCTGGGCAGAGCAGACCACTAGGTTTAGTGTATGAACACATCTTCAAGCCAGGTTTGAAAGTGGGATTTGCGTTTCCCTTACTCAAGGCTTTGGGCATCTTCAGCTTCAGAGTGATCCTGGGAGGAGGGCGAAACAGCATGTTCTCCACTGGGCAAGAAGCAGGAAGACCTGTAGAAAAAGAAAAACAAGCTCAATAACTTGGCAAACTACCATAACTGCCGGTGTACAAGCCACTACTTTATTCTCACACTTTGTACCCTGCAGTTTATAAGCAGGAGCGTCTTATGTATTTTTTTCACAATTTTCAAACGTTATATTTTTATATTTTATTTTGACAGACTTCCTGCTGTCTCTGTAACTTCCTGCCGCTGACTAACATTTTCCTTGGACAGAGCTGGGCGCTCGTGGCTCCCAGCACCCCGCCACTCTTGGGGGCAGGCGTTTGTGACTCAGAGAGAATGACCTCATGACCTAAAAGCGATTGATCGGTCGAAGGAGGAAACGGCTGCAGCCCGTAAGCTTTGCATCAACGTATCGATGGTCGAGCACTGGAGACGCAAAGCAGTCGAGTCTGGTACATGTTTTAATAAAAGTTTTTAAAAAAAAATTGTGACATCTTCCTATGTAGGGCATTAACAGAGTACTCGAGTAATCTACTCATCGATTGTTAGGACATCTATCAAGGTTAAAAATGTAACGTTGAGTATCCGTAGTGACGTCATATTATGTGACCACCGTATGACCGTAGGGGGCGGTGTTGCACTGTTGCAGGTCATGGAGTATGGTGTAACACCGGGTCCAATCCACAGAACCAGAACCAGTTTCGTTTAAGTTTCGTTTTTGACGTGCTGCACGTTTCTTCACGTTTGCAGTTTGATAATAAAAACTAATAGTTTAGTTTTCCTGTGACTTATTTGCAGTATGATAAATGGTAGGAGCATAATATACGCTCCCAATGTTTTGTTGGTCTTTTTTGTAAATAATTACCTTGTTTTGCGGTTTTATTTATTTATGCATCTTGAGATCTATGACATCATCGAATACTCAAGTTCTACTCGGGTATTATTATGTTAATGTCGAGTTTAAAAATGATATACTCGTTCAATCTTTATCGGTAAATATGTGTTCAAATACTGGGACCTCATTTTAAACTCTCACCCAAACACAGAGCAAAAACTAGAGGATGACATTTTTTCGGGAGAACTGGGGGTCACGTGATTCCGGCGAGACGGGAGTCAACCTTATTATAACGCACATGACCAGGACGTGACCGGACTGAAAGTTAACAGAAGCAGACAGGAGCGGGAACCGACCAATAACAAAAAAAAAACAAAAAAAAAAAAAAAAAAAAAAAAAAAACGGGACAGGCGCAGCTCTTCTGTAGTTTTCTTTCAGTAAGCCTTCAGTTTAACACAAGTCAAAAGAAATACATTGCCCAGAAGTCAACTGTTCCAGCTGCTGCTTTTCACTGAGAGGGAGAAGCAGCAAAACACCAACCGAGTGGCTGAAAGTAGTTCAAGGTAAGAAGTGTCTGTGTATTAAAGTCACAGAACAGGCAGGAAAGTGTCAAATAACTGAACTTCATGAGAGTTGTGTTGGTGCTGTGCTGATTTAAACTTTAGTCTCAGCTGTGAGGAGCTGCAGTTTACTGTCACTAAATAAACTCAAACAGAGCATTGTTCTCCACCTTGTCCCTTTTAGTTTAAAAATGATGCTCTGCTTTGTTATGTTTAGGTTAAAATCCTCATTATCTGTTGCGGTTTGTAATGTAAAAATAATAATAAAAAACGTCTTCCTGGTTAAAGTGCACGCACTCTCCGGTAAAAATATCCCTATTTTTATATTGAGACGTCCTGCTGGATACTGGAATTAGGGCTGGACGATATGGGCACAACTTTTATCAAAATATATTTCTTACACAATATAAAAGCCTCAGAAAAACTGTTCAAACTGTACAAATAAATTAATGTAAATTAACAAATACATCAAAAAGAAAAAAACATTGAATGAAAAGGTGCAGAAAGAAGAATATCTGCCCCTTTATTAAAAAATAAAATAACTAGAAAACAACTCAGGCTTGAACCCCAAAGTGAAAACAATCATCGATCATTCTTCACATGGCATCATACTTTATTAACTTTACCTTGATCATCTTCTGAAACATCAACTGTTAGAAAGGTTTATGGTGATAAGACAGTTCACATCCTGTCCCTGAACGCACCTCCTTCACACCAGTTCTACATGGAAGCTTTCGTGTCCGTTATCAATCAACCTTTATTTCTACAGGTAAATCCCATTGAGCCTCGAGGACTCATTTACAAGAGAGACCTGATTTCAACAAAGAAAGATGACAACAATGGACAACAGCAACAACAATAAGCAGTTATAAAAACTCATACTACAGGGTTTTTTTTGTTTTTTTTTAACAAATAGGATGGCTAAAAGGAAAAAGGTAACAAAAACAAAAAAACAGCTAGATTCCAAGACAAATGTAGAAAACTAAAAACAGGAACATGTCTGCATTGGTCCCTGCCAGGAGTCCAACAGATTCTTAAAGCCACTTAGAGAGGTCAAGGTCGAGAGCTTCAAATCTTTTTGTAAGATGTTCCAGGAAACAGGAGCGGAGTAGGAGAAGGTCCTTTTGTCTAGTTCAGTCCTCACTGAGGGAACACTGCAGGTAATGATGTCCTGAGAGTGCACTCCGTAACTGCACTCACGCAGAGACATGTAGGAGGAGATGTATGAAGGCAGCAGACCAGGAAGTGATTTAAAGATGAAAATGTACCAGAGAGTCTGCGTGAAGTTAATGATGTCCAGTTAACCAGTGAATACAGGGTGCAGTGGTGGGTACGATAATCACAGCCAGTTATGAATCTTAGTGCACCATGATAGACAGCATCCAACATCTGCAGGGTTCTTGTAGGAGCGTTCATGTAAATAATATCACCAAAATCAATTGAGGGAAGGAAAGTCACAGATACAAGGCGTTTTCTAGCATTCAGGGTTAGACAGGATCTGTTTCTGAAAAAGAAACCCAGTTTAACTTTCAGTTTCTTTACCAAGTTTTCCACATGGAGCTTAAAAGAAAGATGTGAGTTGACCAAGATACCCAAATATTTATAGGAATCAACAAACTCAATGGGGACACCATTTGAGGATAAAATCGGAGGAAGAACTGCTGGGACCAACTTCCTATTTGAAAAAAGCATCCCTTTGGTTTTTTCGGCATTTAGGACAAGTTTGAGGCGGAACAAATCAGTCTGGATGTAGTTAAATGCAGATTTCAAAAGCTGGAAAGCCTTAGCAACTGTTTTAGCTCGACAATAAACAACTGTGTCGTCAGCATAGAAATGTATGGATGCATTAGGGATGTTTTTACCTACATTATGTATGTAGATTGTAAAGAGGGTGGGTCCTAAGACTGAGCCTTGTGGTACACCATTGTTGACTGTTAAATAACTGGAGGAAGTACCATTATGTTGAACACATTGCCTTCGGTCTGAAAGATAGAGAACCAACCAATGGTGTGATCTGAGAAACCGATTTCTGAGAGTTTATGACACAAGATGTTCTGATCCACAGTGTCAAAAGCTTTAGACAGGTCTAAGAAAAGTGCAGCACAGTAATCCTTAGCATCCAGTGCTTCAACAACGTCATTAAGAACCTTCAGTGAAGCAGTGGTTGTGCTGTGTTGTTTCCTGAAACCAGATTGATGTGGAGGTAAGATGTTAAAATGTTATGTCCGTGTGTGTTGAATTAATGTCATTTCTCTCTGCGCAGCTCGTTGGCTGAGGGGGCTTACAAGCACCAAGCTCCGCCTGCTGGACGAGCGAGGGAGACCAGGAGACGTTGGTCTGGTGGTTCTTATTCTCCAGCCTGGCTCCCGCTCCGGCCTCTCATTGTTGCACCCGTCACTGTTGTTGTTGTTGAGCTGGATGTTTTTGGGACTGGGAGTCACCCGTGTAGCTTGTTTTTATTCCAGTTTTTGGTTGGAGGGTTAGTCCCTGGGTTATAGAGAGAGCGGAGCGGCCCGAATCAGACGGCCAACTGCTGGTTGGTTCGATTTAACCAGTACTCCCAGTCTGTATTTATGTTCAGATGATTTATTAACAATTAAACTTTGTCTAAAGTGAAAAATGGTCAGAGCCTCATCTGTTGGGGGTCCTGCCCCTCCTACACTTACCAGGAACACAACAGTTTTACAAACAGCTCCATTCCCTGAACGTTGTAAAGACTCTCTTTTTAACACGTTTTTATTGAATATTTGGGGCTAATGTTTTTAAGAGCTTTATACATGACTTGTAAAATACTATATTCAACCAAATCATAACATTTTAATCATTTCAACTGATAGTTTGAATGATGAAATAATATATTTGTTGGCTGACCATAGCACTTCCTACTAATAATTCTTATAGCTCTTTTTTGTAAAATAAAATGAGTGTGTAATTGTTTCACCTGCTTTCCCCAAACTTCATTACAACAGATTAAATATGCAACAATCATTACATGACACAATATATACAAAGCTTTGTCATTCAAAAACTCTTACTTTATTTTGCTATTTTTATTCTCAAGTAATTTACATGAGATCTCATCAATAACAACATATATTAATAGTTTTAACTTTAAACGCCATAACCTAACCCATGCAGCAGATGTTTGCTGCAGGTGTTTCTCTTCTGACACAGCTGGGGGGGTTTCAGGGACACGTTGGCTCAAACTTTACTGTGCTTCATCTTGTGACTCTCAGCAGATTCTACCCAGTGGAAACTGTTCACATGGAACAAGTCTGATGTTCCCACCACTGGTTGGAACGACTCCAGCACTGAGTGAAACCTGCAGCTGATCAGATCACAGAAAGATGAACCACTTCCACACCATTACATGAGTCTTTCCTCTTATCAGTGATGTCATCTGCTTCTCTTGGCTTGTGAAACCTTGTTCAGTCACAACTTAAGGCACGTTGGAGATTAGCCTAGCCTAGCCTGCCACCGCTAACTCCTTCTGGACTCGAGCTCTGCGTAACATTACGTCACCACGCACTTACGTCGTCGTGTCGCACCTTTTTCTGTCCGGGTTGAAACTGAAGAGGCCGCTTCAACCCGAACAGAAAACGCTGTAATCCTATCGAAATATGGAAAACGTGCTTAAAACTCTCATCATCG